GACATTTCATGACTTCTCTTTTATTATCGCTTTAATATTGCTCTATCTCAGACGCCTATTTTTTGTCTAATTTGGTTCTATATCGAATGGCCATTCTATGATTTACAACCGATGCTCTTTGGTTGGGCATCGATTGAAAGGCATATTCTCATTTTTCATGATCGATGGTTAACAACAAAATCGAAATGCTTTCTCATTTATTATTTACCTCCAATTTTAAGTGTTCTATACTCTCTCATTTATTATATTCCAATTATTTTCTTTCCTTCTTGTGAAAATTCTTTTGATTATTCAATACGCCAATGTATCTATTTATGTTATTTTTATAATAATGCTGCTTTTATGTGGGAAGTTTTATTCAATGAAATGGTACCCTGTTTAATTATCATTATTTCCAATATTATTCTTCCTATGCGTATCCTTGGGCATAAGCATCGTCTATTTATTGTTCTGCTATGTTTTTGATATTTCTTCGTCTATGTAATGTATCATCATCTATCCTTATTAGTCTTATAGAATGTGCATCTTTTTCCGTCTCGTTCGTTATTCTCTGCTTTCCTTTAATTTGCGTTGGATCGATAGCTGAACTGCGAGCTGGAATAAAAAAAAGATGTTAAGACAGCAACATGAATCATGAAAGATTGTTCCTGTAACATAGACAGACATGAAAGACAAATTGAACAACTCCATTACTAAAACTCACATTTGTTCATGATAATTTTAGCATATCCAACTTTGTCATAAAATATATGTCAGGCGATGTTGTCTATCACTCTGTATGATACCGATTTTGACTCTCAATAGCTTTGCTGACGAATGTTTTAAATATCTCTAATGTTCTCTGAACTTTGCATGCTTGCCTAATAATGATGCGTACAGTAATAGGAAAAGATTCTGAAAAATTCACATAACATATAGGAACAAGTCTTGATTTTTTTTTGAATTCTAATCATTAGACTACTTATAGCATGGACTTGATAAAAATATTGCAACAGAACATAATGCTTCACTCACTTGGATAAGAATGTGAGAAGAAATCACAAATCAAACAAATGAAAATCGGCGTAATACGAGATGATCTAATATTGTTGTATCAATGTGATGCTAAATTCACAGAAAACATAAAGATATTCTGCTTTGGTGAATTGGGAAGTGAGCATGTTTTCACTGTACACGAAATATTTTCATTAAATCAATATAATCAAGACGTTCATACACAAAATGGTAAAAAGTTTCGAATGCTGAAAAAAACCGACTATAATCATCTTTCCAGAAGTGTGATAATTCGAACTAAGTGTGCGCACAGAAGTCAAAAAGGTGAAATCATCTTCTGATGCTGTTGAGTCCTATATATAGCATTATGTGTTTCTTTCATAGAGTTACTGTTCAAATGTATCCGTAATCTCTAAAGACTGATTATTAAAGAAGATTTTCTGTTAATAATAACGAGTGTTTGCCTATCCATACATTTAGTTAGATTACTTCTAACGTAATCCATCTGCTAAGAGTTTATCGTAACATATACTGAAGAAAAATTAATCCATTTTCGACAAAATAGTATAGAAAATTCTCAATTATTTGTTTTTTTTTCTATATAATTTGAATCAATATCTCAAAACTGATTTATCTTATACGTTTAAAAACAAGGATTGACTCAAAAATTCACTACTGTGTGAAATTGCTGAATTTAGCTTATTGTCTTCAATTACCAAAAACAACGAAAGATAAACATCTCTTTTTTTTGAATGCGTTAGGGACATTATGATCCAATAATTCATACAATTGATGATGATGTTACTCGTTATGCATTTGCTGTAACAAATATTATAAATAGTCAATTAATTGCTCAATTATATGGTTTTATAATATTATTAGATTTTACAAAATGTGTCCAGAATATTGACGTCAAATTCATTTTTATAATTAATTCAAGAACATCAGATGATTGAATGAAAAAATCTTTACATAACTATATTGATCCATCATTATTACCAAATAAATATGGTGGTCGATTAGGTTCAGTATAATCTGATATGAATAAATTATTTATTCAATGGATTCAACAACATAATGATTATTTGATATAACTTGAACAATATGGAATTGATCTTCAACAAATATCACAAGTATTTTAAAAAATTGAAAAAAACAAAAACAACATGATATGTCAGTTTTTATTCTAAGATTCTTCTTATTATATTTTGTTTTTTTTTTCTATGTTGATCAGTATAGCTTATTTGTATGCATCTATAAAAATCAATAATTTCTATAAATAGAATAATAAATGTCGGTAAAATATGGCTCTTTTTAAGATTTTATCATTACATACAAGTGATAATACTCATCAACCGAGTATGACTTGTCAGTAAAAATTACTCAAGCCATTTTATTGGTATGAATAGTGTTCTTGTATGCTATCGAGTTTTCCTCTACATCGTTGTTCATACGCAATAACGTGGATATCCGATGTAGTACCCATGTGCTATTTTTCGCAGAGTACTTAGAAAAATATTTATGCACTCGGATATACATAAATGGATTTAAGTAATGTAATGAAGTAAAAATAGCATGAAATAATGGACACAAGAAATTCTTCGTTGATAAATTGAACGATGTTATTGAATAGAGATTTTAAGAACAGAAAAACAACTTTTCATGTTAAACTGTTTTTGTTCAAGTGTGTTAATAGATAAATTGCAATAAAACAAAAGGAACTAACAACTCTTGTTACAAATCAATTGAGATTTAAATTCATGAAAATATCTGAATGATACTGTAGGCAAATCATTTTCTTTTTGTTGTGTTATTTATTAATTACTGAAAGATTAAAGATAGTTATGAATTAGTTATTTCATTTTTGTATCTAAATAAAATGGATATCAGTTCACAATACTGAACAGAATATAGACATATGAGTATTTTCATAAACTACTAGAGTAAACAAAAACTATGTAGAAATACTCAAGAAACATTGAGTGTTGCATGGCGAGTATTCGTTTGTCATACTCAGATATTAGCATCAGTACTCAGGTTCTCACGACCTTTTCTAGCGTACACGTACTTGCTTGATAAAATATTCAGAAAAGAAAAAAACTTTCTCATGCATGTGGAAAGTTGAGACAAGCCAACTTATCACTCTAGAAGTAAGAATGTAATGGTTTCTTGACTTGCTATACTTCCATTTAATTGATTTTCCTACGTCTATTCCTTTTCATTTTTTTCTATTTATTGGAACTATTAGAATATATATGAATTTTACAAAAATTAATTCTAGTCTCAAATAAATTCAGTAAAACATTAACTAATGCATGATTTCATAGTCGTGAAATAAATATCTTCTGTCATTTCTATTTCTGTGAATTTACGACAATGCACAACGAGAAACAAAATAAATAATGTATTAGTTCACACTTGTTGAATAGATAGACTAAAAAAGCACAGTTTTATTTGAAATCATCAGTTTTCTTTATTTCATACATTAATACAAAGTTTAGCGAACAATATTAATTACAAATTAAATCTATAAGAGAAATTTAAAAAAAAATATTCAAATTTGTTTGTAGAACATATCAAATAGAAATAATTGTTTTGCATTAAAAAAAATCCTTCTATATAATCACATGTTTATGTTCGTGTCGTTTAATTTGACATTTTGTTTGCTTTGAGTCAGTCTTAATCCATATCTTCTACTTAAATACCCAATTAACATACACTATACAAAAGCTTTTGTTTGGTATAGTATGAGTATGTCAATAATTTGAATTCTACTGATCTTTAAAACATAGTAGAAATCAATTTACTACTGATGTATTCATTTAGTTCATAGATTTTGTGAAAGTGCCACAACATTATTTATTATATGACAATATTTATCGCAATCGGTAATAACAATTTTTTCTCGACTTGTATTTGTATAATGCAACCATAATAATATTATTTCAATATTAATTTTCATAATTGTTTGAGCTAAAATCATATCATTTTGCTAGAATAGGAATGTTCTTATTTGCAACAATGATTTCGTAATAAATAAGTTTCATTTTTTAATAACATATTAGAATTCAATACTACTATCGATAGAAAGACAAATTAATTCTGAATTGATTATGTTATTTAAAATTATAATATATGCCATCCTTGAAAGAACGATTGAAAAAAAGAAACTTTTCATCTATTATTATTATTATAATTTACGAGTGTTGCTTCTGTTTCAGATTGTCCACATATTATATAACTACACACTTAATTTAACATTAAACGTATATAAAGAAATATAAATGATCTAGGCAAACGCACAAAACAATTAGTAACAACTGTTTCATGGATGATTTCTTTTTGATTAAAATTCTATTTGATTCAAAGAATATTTTTACTAAATTTATTTAGTTAAAATTAAAAAAAAAATATTTGTTTTTAATTAAATATGATTGATAACATTTTCGTTGAATATTAATTAGCTAAAAGCATATTTATTTTTTTGTAAAAGAATTATAATATTTAAACTTTTTTTTTTTTTTTTGTTAAAATAAGTATCAAAGTGAAAATGAAAACACCATCTAGTATAGATGGCGTTTTTATGTATGAAACATTAAAAAAAATAAGATTTACGATTTATTTTAAGCTTATTATTGAATTTCAATTAAATTAAAATCTTTGACTCTATATAATAACTTAATTTTATCAATATTTTATAGATTTCTATCTCCACACGTTGTTTTCTGATAGGTCAGTAAAAATCTAATTCATCCAATCATACAAACACAACCCATATTCCGTTGTTTGCTCATTGATTTGTCTTTTCGTCTCTATTCCATTAAATATAATAGTAAGAAAGAAAGAAAGAGAATGAAGAAAGCCATCTAACCTATATTCTTTTACATGATCATTTTCGTATCAGTTCATACTCGCATATATATTCAGAAGAGAGAAAAAGAGAACATATGTTATTCTTTTAACTGACCGTTGACCCTATTACTTTCTATTTTAGCATCATCTTTATCATGATTCGTTTAAGCTATTCATTATTATTACTTGTTATTATTGCAACTGTCTATTCAACAGATTATTTTGTTGAAAAATTCGAAGGTAAAATAAATCTTTGAATTATTTTTATTGATTATTGTTTTTTTTTATTATCTTCTTCTTATAAGATGAATCTTATAAAAAACGATGGGTTCAATCAACAGCTAAATCAGATTTAGGTGAATTTAAATTATCACATGGTAAATTTTATGGTGATGCTAAAAAAGATCTTGGTAAGTCAATTTAAAAAATACAAAAATTATTCTTATGAATACACAAAACAAAAAATCTATTCTTTATCTAGGTTTACAAACATCGGAAGATGCTCGTTTCTATGCTATGTCAGCTAAATTTAATAGTTTTTCAAATGAAGGCAAAACACTTGTTATTCAATTTACTGTTAAACATGAACAAAAAATTGATTGTGGTGGTGGTTATGTTAAAGTTTATCCAGCAGATACTGATCAAAAAGGCCTTACTGGCGATTCACCTTATCACATTATGTTTGGTAAATAAATTTTTTTTCTCTATTTTTATTTTACTATTTTTCATCATTTAGGACCTGATATTTGTGGTTATAGTACGAAAAAAGTTCATGTTATTTTTACATATAAAGGAAAAAATTTATTAATTAAAAAAGAAATTAAATGTAAAGATGATGAATTTACACATCTTTATACATTGATTCTTAACCCCGATAATACTTATGAAGTTCGTATTGATAATGAAAAAGTTGAAAGTGGTAAACTTGAAGAAGATTGGGATTTCACTGTACCAAAACGAATTCCTGATCCTGATGCTAAAAAACCATCAGATTGGGTTGATGAAGAAAAAATCGATGATCCAACTGATTCAAAACCAGCCGGTTAGTTTTAATTAAATGAAAATAAAAAAAAAAGAATCAATAATATTTCTTTTTTTAATAGATTGGGATAAAGCAGAACATATTCCTGATCCTGACGCTAAAAAACCTGAAGATTGGGATGATGAAATTGATGGAACATGGGAACCACCAATGATTGATAATCCTGAATATAAAGGTGTTTGGAAAGCTCGTCAAATTGATAATCCATCTTATAAAGGACCATGGGTTCATCCTGAAATTGATAATCCTGATTATGTTGAAGATGCAAATCTTTATTTATATAAAGATATTGGTATGATTGGTTTTGATTTATGGCAAGTTAAATCTGGTACTATCTTTGATAATATAATTATCACTGATAGTGTTCAACGTGCTGAAGAATTTGCTAAAGAAACATGGGTAAAAACAAAAGAACCAGAAAAGAAAATGAAAGATGATCAAGATGAAGTTGAACGAAAGAAAGAAGAAGAAGAACGTAAAAAACGAGAAGCTGGTTAGTATTTTACTTTAAAAAAAAAAAAAAGCAAAAAATTTTTTCTTTTTGTCTCTTTATATTTATAGAAGACAAATCAAAGAAAACTGATGATGGTGATGAATCAGATACTGATGATAAGAAATCACCTCATGCTGAAGATGAATTATAATTAATCAAATAAAATAAAAAAAAAAGAACATTTACATCGTACATTCCCAGTCAGTCTTAATTGGACAATAACAACTATATACATAAAAAAAAAAAAAGAGAAACATCTTATGAGGTAGTTCCCCTATTTCTTCTCTATTTAAACACTTTAGTTATATTGGTTAATCTTTTTTTTTTCTTTGCTATTGTTGTGTTTGTTTTTTGCTCTGTTTTCTTTTTTTCCTCAAACGAAAAAAATAGCGAATAGTGCAAGATTAGGAAAAAGAAAAACGAAATGACACATAGACTTACTTCACTAACACACCCAAAAGAAGAAACAACAGATCAGTTTTTTTTTGTTTTTATTATTGTTGTTTGTTTAATGCGCCGATATATTCATCAGTTTTCTTTTTTCTCTTATTTAACTATCTTTTATGTGCTTGTGCTTGTTTGTATGTGTGTTTATTTGATTGGACTATATCTTGCACACTCCTTTCCTTTCTTCGGTTTTTTTATACGTCGCTGTTTATGGATTAAAACAAAAAGAATATTAGAAAAAGATATTATGTTGATTAATGCATATAAATATTCAGTTTCTATAAATATTTATAGATTATTTGGATAGATAACAATAGGAAATATATATTAGATAAAGATTCAATGTTTTTTTTTGTTTGAGAACATGAAAAATAGTTTTTCGAGAATTACAAGTTTGAATAAAATTAAGGAACTATTGTTGTTTATATGTAGATTGGAGATTAGTCTGACCATTCTGATGCTAATTCAAGTCTACGATGATCATGACTATAGATAAGAGAATAATCACATTTAGATTTTTCTAGGTAATATTGTAACTGTGATCAACCAGTATTATTCATATCAATCATTGATCTAGATTGACCTTTGAAAGAGATTATTTTTGAAATGCAAACGACTTATATTTTTTTTTTTGTAAGATCTTATATGAATAATAAATATCTAAAGTTTTTATCTAATAACCGCCATAAACAGTCATAGAAATTCGTTCAAAATGAACATTGAAGTCTGCTCAATCTACGGACGAAGGAAGTTCCTCACTTGATTAATTTGTTGCTTTTAGTCAAGGTTACATACATCATGTAAATCTTAATGAGTTATATATACTCTGAAAACAGTTTAGAGTTTCAATTTATTCTCAGTGAGATACTCTATTTTTACTTGATTACGTTTCCATTCTAAGCGACCATCAAGAAAACACAGATTTTCTTCAAGTCTTTTACGGTCTTATTTCTGAATAGGAACAAATAGAAAAACATGAAACATTCACAATTGCTAATCCCTGTTTCTATGCAAAGTTTCAAATCGAAATTCGAACAGCAGTTTTCTTTATATTTCTTAGGGAAACTACGATATCCAGTGAATAAATATCATAAAATGTAGTATCTCTGTGACAAAAAGTGGAGAGCTCACATTCTTTTCAAATTATTCGTAGTTCATTAGGATCTACACGATACATATAATCTAGATTCACAAGCAGATATAGAATTTTCAATGAAAATATACATTTACGCATTGTTTTATACTAAATGCCAATCCTCCGTACATATTATTCCTTCTACTTAGAAAGATCGTTATGTTTAATTCGGTACAACTTTTTATTATTCATACAATAATAAGATCTTGCTCGTGCTACTTCTTAATTTACGTATAAAAGACTCAAGAATTCAATATAAATACAATTTGAAGTTTTAGCTGTATCCTACATAACTGAAACAAGTCATCACTTTGCTTTTTCTTCATGTGCAACTAAGATTGAAAAATAAATATCGACAATATTAAATAGAACTCGAGAGAGAACATATACAAGTGTTGTATACCGCTCGACTTCATATTATAGCTATGAATAGATCTCGGTAAAACTAAGACAAGCTTCAAATAATTTGAACCGATGACCTACTGATGAAGAGTTATAGCCATTTAAATGAAATTTCGACTAAGGGCAAGATATTTTCGAAAAATCTGAATCAAAGAGTTTTGACCTAAGATTTTACCTATGACCAAGATTTCAGTTCGAAATTTTTTGTTTTGGATTTTTTGAAAAAAATCTTGTTGCCAGTAAAAATAATCTTTTTGAACTTGTTTTTGTCTCACCGTGACTTATTTGTAGCTATACTATGAGATCGAATGACAATCCAACAATTAAGAATGTTCTCTAGTTGAATAAAAAGAACAAGTAACTTTTTATCAATATAATACATCTTCTTATCAATTTTTACTTTAGCAGATATTATGTATAAAAGTTTTTACTAAAATAAACCTATGTACAAGAAATTATTGTCAAATTATTATTCAATTAAATAAATAGAAAAAAAAACTTGATAGTATGAAAAATCTCAAGAAAAAAACAATCATTTATTTTTTATGTGACGAAGTTATTTACGTTGAAGAACATTATTTTGAGCATGTTTATAAACTTGTTACTTCGAAATAATATTCTTCAATAATCAACAAATAGTTTTAATATTTTTATTTTGATAAATATTAAAAAAAAAAAGCGAGCACAATCTTATCAGCGTGAATGAAAGTGATAATAAACAAAATCGAAAATAACTAGAATAAAAATGACGATAAATTAGGTTTTTCGTGGAGGAAGTCGTGGAAGTGTTGGTAATGGATCATTACGCAATCCTTTCAGCGATTTTTTTGTAGATGATTTTGGTCCTTTAAGAGTTGGTGATGGTGGTTCAGTTGTTGAGGAAAGAGAAGAACGATGTACATTAGTTGAAGCAAGAACTGGTTCATAATTAACACGCATTGGTGAACGATAACGATCAGCTGTTGAATTACTATTTATTAGAAAGAAAGAAAAAACAGATAAATTTTCACAATACTTTGTAAATATGAAACAAATCTTCTCTCAAGTATTCATAACTATTGTGAACATTGATTTTTTCTTTTTTGAAATTTTATTCAAAAACCTTTAAAAGAATTGATTGTCGTTCTTTTGAAATTTTGTAATGTTATATTAGAAAAATGAAGTTTAATAAAAATAGAAATTAATAGCAAACTTTGAAAGTATTTTCAAGAAATGAAAAGCTATGTGTCATGCTTAGAATTTTGTGCTCTTTACGAATTTAGACTTCATAATTTTCTTGAGATCTATGAAGTCATTTTTTTAAAAGTTCAACAAATATGTTGAACAGAAGAATTCTTTCGTACACATTTATGCTTTTATTATTACAACTCAAAAGTACAGGTTGACACTTTTATTAACATATCAACTTGTAAAACAAAAACTACTCCAAAAAATATATTATTTGAATGTTTATTCAGGCCAATTCAATTTTCGTTTCTATTGAAATCCTCATTTTTTAAAAATTGACTTTTGATCAAAAGACGTTTTTTATAGAAATGACCTCTTATCCAAGTGCTTATAGTTTCTCTTAGATAAAAGTCAAAGCTTAATTCAATATAAAAGTTTGTAAAGAAATGTCCGCTCGACAAATAGATTTCATTATAATAACTTACGAATTATCAACTATTGATGATCGTGAACTTGCACGCGATTGTGTATGATGTAAACTGTATGCTGAATTGGATCGATAGCCTAAGAAATAAAATATATCAAGATGATTTTTTTTTTATTGATATTTGAACGATATTTTTGATATATATTTTATTAAACTGTCAAATCAAATAAATAGAATTATTTAATTACATAGAAAGATATTTTTAGTTATTAAGACATTTCATATATTTTGAGCAAAGTTCAATGCAGTAAAAATGAAGAATAGCTGTTTCTTATAATAATAGTAATATTAATTTTCAATTGCTTTCTCTATTGTTTGTATGGCATCAACAATCATTGTTGCTTTTATAGAAAAGAAAAATAATCGAATAATGTTTACCAAGACTAGTTGATTCAAGAAGTATTTTTCTAACATTAAAAATATTCTAACCAAATAATCGACCTGATTGTATGCATTCTCACAATAATCTGCTTACCTCAAATCTGTAGTAATTTGTATTTCACTTTTGTTTTACCTAACACGAATACGAATACATACATAACTACATAGCTCGTACAAATTTAAATGATTATTTTTCTTCAGAATAAAAAGACGAAACAAAAAATGAATTACTTAGCAAAGATTGAATCGACTGATGTTTTATTGGCATCGACTCGAACTGAATCGAGTCAAAACTTATTAAAAAACTAACGAATGTATCATTGTTACATTGAATGAAAATTATAACCGGTCAAGAATTTTTGAACTAATCCAGACCGGTATAGGTTAGTTGGATCATTATTAATCGATTAGTAGGAATGATTTTAAAAACATTTATTTTTCTGTCTACAGTGATGTTTCTATACATAGCGCAAGAAACATAGTTATTTACTAGAGTTCTGCTGGGCAGTACTGAAAATTTTTTAAGACAATTCGTTAGAAATCAAAAAACATTTTCTCGAATTTTTTTAAATTTCTAACGAATTCTTTAATATTGACATAAATACCAAAAAAAAAGAACATACAATATCTACTACTTTTAAACCTAAGACTTTCATAGAGAAAATCATAATGAATTTCAGTCACATTCAACTATCTTGACTCAACCTACAAAATTAAGAGATAATCCATTTGAACCAACTATTGCATTTAGCATCTGAAATATCAATGTTTTTTTTTCAGATTGAGTTATTTATGACACTATATAAGGAAACATTCAGCTCTTAATTTTCATTTTCCACATTTTTATAGTTCTTGATTGCAATCAAATTTTAGATGTACATTCGTCACATATTTCACGATCTTGGTAAACTTTCTCTCATTTTAAAATGATAGTTACGCGTGAAGGAGGATGGCTGACTGACTTGAGTCATGTCTAATGTATCAAAAAGATAAAGAAGCAAAATTTGTTATGACAACTAAGCAAATGAAAAGAAATAAATCGGCTGTAGCACTATGTGCAGACAGCCATCTTCCAGTTCATGGAGCAATTCCAGAAAAACATTCGAGACTTGGGACACGAGAAAGTTTATCCTGCAGAAATCTATCATTTACTCATCAATTGATTACCAAACTTCAAACTTTGAAATTTCTTTGCTCATTCTTTTCAAACAAATCTAATATTTCTCTACTCGAAAGACAATCCAAACCTAAATTGGATCCTTATCAAAAAAAAAAAAAACAAAGCTTAGTTCAAATAACACAATTTTGATTGTGTATTTTAAAAAAATGAAATATGATTCGATTAAAAAAAGATACAATTAATAATTCTTGAAACAATACTGTTGAATTATTTTGATAAGAATAAATCAACTTGTTTTCAACAAGTTTTATCAGAGAAAAATAGTATATCTATAAAATATTGAAACCGAACTAATCCCGTTTCCAGTGATTCAGTAGAAAAAAATTGTAACTCTCACCTGTATCACCGGTAGTAAGTCGACTTTCTGATTTTTCAGGACTATGAGTAGGTGTAGTTGTTGATTGCCATTTTTGATTTTCACGTGGAAATGTTTCGTCAAGGCCGAAATTACGTTTATTCGAAGAATATACAATTGATTCTTCTATTTATAAGATTATATATATTTTTTTTATAGAGAAATATAAGAATAAAACATAAAATAAACCTTCTGGAAAATAATTTATTTGTTTTTCATAATTATTATCTTCATCAGATTCATCAACTTCCAGATCATTTTCAAGTAAATCATCATCATCAGCAATACGTAATATTTGTGGTTCAAGAAGTTTTTTACGTTCTTCAATTTTTCTAATTATTAAAGATTAAAAACAAAAGAAAATAGTGAAAAGAAAAAAAAAGAAAAAAATCTTACCGATTATGTTCAATTTTCCAATCATTAATTTCTTTCATTAATGGATTATTCGACATCGTTAATGATGATGAACTAGATGAAATTGGTGGTGGTGATGGTGCTTTTGTTTTTTCTGATATTTTTACAGAAGGAATATCGATCACATGAGATTGTTGGTGTTTTCTTGCTCGTAATATTTTTGTTAGATTTCCTTGAAATGCTGGACCAATAGTTAATTCACTAACAACATCTTCATTATTATCTGTAATTGCATTCAAAAGAAAGAAAAGAACATAAAGTTTAGAATGGAAAACGAAAAAAAAAAAACAGTTAATTTAACCTAATAATTCTGATTTCGCAGGATCTGTATTTGGTCGCATTGATGCTGATGGAGGTCGAATACTACCAACTGAACCAGAACGAGCTGCTGATCGAGGACGATAATATGCGGCTGAAGTTGGTCGATTTAGTGGACTTTTATTAGCTGATCGCGGTCGAGAATCGACTAGAAAATTGAAAATATATAAAATATTATGAAAGAAAAATTTTCTATTATATATTTACCTTGATTACATGCTAGTTTATCATCAGGTGGTGCCATACCTGCAGCAATACATTCTTCAATTAAAGACCAATCTTGTTGAAATAACATTGTTCCTTCTCCAGGTATTGATGATGAGATTTTATTTATTCGATTTGTTGGTATATCATCAAGTGTTTGAAGTCGAGGTAAACGTTGAATGATTTCGATACGATAATCAGGATGATTATTAATCTAATGTAGATCAAACAAACAAAGATTTACATATATATATATATATTTTTTTCTCAAGATTTTTTTTTTTCATACCGGATTGCCTTCGAGAGTTAATGAATTTAAACTAGGACATAAGGCAAGAAATTCAACTTGACGTAAGTCATCAACAAGGTTACTAGAGAAAGAAAAAATATTAAGAAAAGAAAAATACTATGATAATTAATATATACCTTTCAAGATCAAGTAATCGTAAATGTTCAAGCATACTTAATGCACTTAAATCAGATATTTCATTATAGGCAACATAAAGTTCTTCAAGTGATTGAAGACTTGTTATACCATCAAGATCATTCATACAACAACGAGCCATCCATAGAATACGTATATGTGACAATGATGTACCTAGATCTCTTTAAATGAATAAACAAACAAAAATGAATTTTTCTTTTTTGATGAAGACATTCATATGTGAACTAAATCAATTCTGCTAGACAAAAAAATACTAGCTTTTTTTTCTATGAAATACTACTATTCTTTATGATATTGAGTTGATATTATCGGTGTATAAAGGCGACAATAAACCCTCGTTGCAAGCATTAACCTATAAAGAACTGAAGATCCTTTTACATTCGAATTCACGAAAACGTGGATTCGTAGCTTTCTATCAACCTGCTGTTCATCAGTTTCACATATCCTGAAGCTATGATTTACACATCGAATATCTTTTTTGTAAAAAAGATATTCAGCGAATTTACATACTCAAAAAATTTTACTATTTTACAAGCTACTATTGTTTTTCCTGTAGCATTAAAAGCAGTTGAATATGCCTACTTAGTATTTTCAAATCTTAAGATAATGGACTCATGTCGTAGAACTAACTCGAGTTCATTCAATATTGCGACTCTAAAACTTTTTTTTTACTAAAAACTAGATTTTGTCGTTCTTGATGAGAGACTATCGAAATTTATTGGATTTACCTATTAAAAGCATATACTGATTTTTAAGTGTATCAAAAGAGAACCATATTCCTCACAGATCAATTCTCACTCTCAGCTAGGTGTCTGCCTTTACTCTAATTTCTTTCATTTGATAATAAAACGTACATTGAGATTTATAGAAAGAGCTTCAAAAAATAAATCCTGACAGCTACTAATAAAGAATTATAATCATTGACGAATTATTTTCGAAAATTATTTAATCCTACAGAACATATTTTATTTTTTTCAATGATTTCTGTATACATTTGTCATTCAATCTGAAATTTAGATCACATAGTCATGTCTTGTTTTTTATATAACTAAAAAGTTTCAATTTTTCACAACGAAAACTTATTAGAAGATTGTGATATCGCCTTTCCATAGAGCGTCTTCGGTCACTACTCTTTACTTAAGTCAGTAATGATACTTTGCAGTAATATTTGATTTATTTTATTTTTTTTTGTTTTATGTTGGCCATCACAAAACTGTAAGAACATTAAGAAAGAATTTGTATTTCTCAGTCTTTCGACACTCTTCAAAGTTTTCTTATCGAATCAAAATAAACATACGAAAAAAATTACCTAATACGTGGTATAACACTATTACTTAATTTAAGTTGAACTAATTTCTGTAAATAAACTCCAAAATTGCCCAAACTTGTATCCGATGTATCAACAATCATTTCTAATTCACGAATATTTGCTAAATCATCAGTACCTGTTAATGCTCTCTATATAGAAAATAAAAAGAATTGGAAAAAAAATTTCTTTAATAAATAAATAAATAAATACCAATTTAGTTGGTGATAAAAATTCTTCAAGTAAAAAATCAGCTTCTTGTAAAACTAATGGTTCAGGATTAACTCGATAATCTTTATGTTCAGTTATATGAATACCACGACGTAAAGGTTGTTTATGTGATTGTGCAGGTCTTTCAATATCGATCGGCATACTTGAAACTCTTTAAATTTTCATAGAGAAAAAAAATAACAAAAGAAATATTGTCTATTATAATACAAAAAAAAAAGACAACAAATTAATATTTTCATACCTAAGCATAACCTAAAAGAATCAAATTATTTTTTTATTTTTCTACATAATAAAAATATATGAAAAATCAATGTCTTTTTTTTCTTTTTGTTGCTTATTTTAGCCATTTAAAAATTCTATTAATTTACTTTCCTAAGCAACTTGTCAAAACATAAAATATGATTGATATGAAATGCATAAATGTGTTACATATAGAGGATTGGTGTATTTTGATTTGTTTATTTATTTGTTTGGATCGATTTTTATTGTTCGTTTGTGTGTTGTTTGTTGTTTTTTTTTTGAAACCTGCGCATTCGCTTCTTCCTTTTCTTCTTTTTTTTCTCTTTTTTTTTCTTGTGTGTTTCGTGTGTTCAGAAATCTTGTTTTTTTTTTTCGTTTCTTTGTTCATTTTCTTCTATCTATCTTTATTGGATTTATCTATTTTCTATTTAATATCTATCTTGCTATTCACGTGTCTGTGTAGTCTTGCCTATTTGTTTGTTTTTGTGTAAACATTATATTTCAAAATGTCGTCTGGCAATGTACTCGATCAAACATCAACAACAAATTCTGGTACATCTTCAACTTCATCAAATAATTTAACTAATAACAATAATACAAATTCAAACAATAATAATGCAGCTAATAATAATGGTACATCTTTTCAACCTGTACGTAATAATTCTGATAATATGGGACATACATTTGAAAATTCTATGCAAATGTTTGCTATGAAACAACAACCAATGGCATCACCAATTACAGGAACAATATATACAGGTCCACCAGCAAAATATTTAAGTAATGGTAGTATGAATAGCAATGGTTATGCAACAGGTGGACCTATGAGACCAATGTTACCACCACAACAACAGAATAGATATGGTTCATATAATGGAAATAATAATAATAATTATAATAGTGGACCATCAATGCAACAACAACAACGTCGACAAAATAATACTGGCGTTGATAATGCAACAAATGATTCAGTCAAGTAAGTAAAAGATTAATTGAGTTATATATATATATATGTCAATGATGGAACCAGGTTTTTCAACTGACTAGGATTGTCGAGATTTTCTTGGAATGCGACGAGCTAGAAGCTCGATAGAAAATGTTTTCATTCGTGAAGTGTTAAAAGTGATGACGTGAGGAGAAAAAACTGAAACCCAACATGACCTAGATTTTCCACAACAGAAGACCAGCTCGTTCTTCAGTACTGTGATTCTCCTTGCAACAACATTGTCTGCTTATATTTATTTTACTTTCTGCCGAACACAAGCAAATGATGTCTTAAAATCCGATTGCTGTCAAGTATTACTACGAAAAATTAGCAGAAAGTTTTAAGAAGTTTGAGCTTCTCCCATAATCGCAAATCTTAGTCTACACACCTTTAAACATTCCTGATGAGATTTTCAAAAATGTATCTTTTTTAAATGACGATTCACAACCATCTATATACTGAATAACCTTTTCTTCAAACATGTTCGTCAATTTCACAGAATAAGATATATGTGTTGAAATGTTTTATTGAAAAGATTAATACATTTTTCAAAGAGACTGCGTTTGATTTACCTTCCACCTTTGCTTGGCTATCAATATATACATATTGTTTTTTTATTCTTAAACTTTAGTACAAGAAAAGTATTTGTTGGTGGTCTCAGTCCAGATACAAAGATGGGTAAAAAAAAAAAAAGCTTTTTTAGTATGAAATTTATTTTAATATTGATATTTTAGAACATCTTTGTGAATATTTTGCTAAATTTGGCAATGTAGAAAGTGCTACTGTTAAGTTTGATAAATCAGGTCGTTCAAAAGGTTTTGGTTTTGTTCTTTTTGAAGATCGTGATTCAACAGATAAAGTAAAAGAAAAATATTATTTTTCAAAATATCTATCTTTTGTTTATTTTTTGTCTTGTCCTTATTTGACAGGTTTATTCCCAAGATTTACATGTAATTCAGGGTAAACGTGTTGATACAAAATCGGCACATCGTCGTGATCAAGCACTTGCACGTAAAGTATTTGTTGGTGGTTTAGATACAGAAGTAACTGATACTGAATTACGTGAATATTTTTCAAAGTTTGGAAAAGTTTGTTAAAAATTATATTTGATTCAAAAAAAAACACAAATAATTTAATTTTTTTTTTTTTTTTTTTGTTTATTTCAATATTAGATCGCTCAAATTGAAGCACCAATGGATAAAGTTAAACAGAAACGACGTCCATTTTGTTTTATTCTTTTTGAAAATGAACAAAGTGCTGAAGAAGTTCTTAAACAACCACGTCATACATTAGCTGGAAAATCTATTGATTGTAAACGAGCTAATCCAAAAACTACAGAAAATAATCAACAAAATAATAATGCAAACAATCCTATGCATGCACCATTAACACATTATAATATGCCTGGATTAAATCAAAATCCATTTCAATATCAACAACGTAAATAGATATAGAAAAAGAATAAACGAAGAAAATTAATAATTTATTGTTTTTTTTTCTATTTTTTGTAGAACAACGTTCACAACAACCACCATCACATCAACAATTACAATATCCACAAGCAGCACTAGCTGCTCAACAACAACATTATCCATTTTATAAGTAAATTAGAAATTATTTTTTTTTTGTTTTCATAGAAAAAATTTTTGTATTTTGATTTTAGTTCATCATCACTTGGAATTTCATCAGCTCAACAACATCAACAAGCTAGTCAACAAGGACAAAATCGCTCGCAAACAAATCGACAACAATTACCGTCGAATAGTCAAGGACTTGCTCAACCATGGTCACCAATGAGTCCAGCTCAATGGCCAAACACAAATTATGGTAATATAATCGATAATCAAAAGGTTTTTAGACAAGATATGTATGTTCTTTTCGAATATGGACTTAAATAATGTTGTCTCAGTTTTTCGTTGAGAGTATTGATATAATCTTGGGACGAAACTTGCGAGTCAACGTTTCCATTGAAACTAGATTTGTTTGAAAGCATTTTAGACGAGTCGAAAACCATAGGTTGCGACCAGAGTTTGAATATCGGTTTCGATGTATTCTGTCTATTGTTATTCAGAAGCAGTGAAAGACTTAAAGAAATTATTTTTACTTGGTGAACTAACAGGTTTTTGTTTGCCCAATAAGTCCCCTTTTGAATGTTAAAAATTGTCAGAATTGGTGGTTTTTTTATGACAGACACTTCTCTACAATATGTGATATTGAATTAAAATATAAATTTTATCCAAGTGAGGCTACACAGGTTTTTTTTTCAAGAGCTTCTTGCAATATATAACGCTTGTTAATTTTTAAAAAACGAGTGTTTATGAAAGAAAGAAAAACAAAAATTGAGGTGTCTTGTCGAAAGACAAAGTGCATCTTGTAGACTGACTACTGATCTACAAGCTGATATATAAAGATTCCAACTTCTAGTTTCAAATTGTGATAGTGAAAATACAAAAGTTTTCCGTCTAAACAAATTTTTTGAACTTTTCAAAGATTATTTCATTACTCACGAAGACAAACTGAGATGACAGTCCTAAAGAAGAAACTATCTGAAGTGATACTTTGCGTGTAAAATGATACTCCAATCATGACGTAGGAACTGTTGAGACTAGAAGCAATCTGGAAGGATTCTTCCTCGTGCGCTTTGCTGTAGAAGTTATGATCATTGTACTGAATTTTTCATCTTGTTTACTATACTTAGAAAACCTAATACCAATAAATTTTGACCTACCGTTGATGGCTCAAAAGATTGGTCTCTTTCCTGAATATCAAATCTACAAAAACAAACCTTATAGTAAAGTATCAAAGTTTTTTGTAGATTTGATATTTAGAGAAGAAAAATTTCGTTTGTCCAGTATTTTTCATCAAGACTATGTCAGACGTAAAAAATCGAATGTAACGTTCATAACTTCAAAATAGTATCACTTCAGATAGTTCTGTCAGAAACTCTTTCTAGAGCCTCAAAAATGAACAAATATCTTGTGTAAAAAAAAGTCCGATTATTCATCAAATAAATCCTAATCAATGATTTTTTAATCTAAAATGATTTTTCATTATTTAGCGGATCCTCGTTCATATAGTTCTTATGGTCCTTCATCAGCATCTGGATCAAATGCTACTTGGCAAGTTGCTCCTCCTCCACAAGGTAATTCTTATGGACAAGGTCGAACACCATCAGCTGGTCCATCAGGTAATCCAGCAAATGCAGCTGTAGGTCCACCACAAACTCAAGCACCATTTGGTGGGGCTAATTCCAATACGGCTCAATATTCTTATGCCGGTTGGAGTTTTAGTCAACCACAAGGTTCACAAGGTCCACCATCAGCTGGACCACCACCAAATCAATATAGTTATGGAGCTGATTCAACGAATGGTCCACCAAGTGCATTTGCATATCAAGCACCAACAGGTTATGATCATTTCTCGTCCGATTCGGCACCTCCATCCAATTACAGTCGTTGATGAAAGAGCCCGCATATATACTGTACAGTTTTTTTTTCTTATTTTTCCCTTATTCTGCTTTTTGTTTCGTAGTCCTTTATTATCATTACTTATACCATTACATAGATACGAATGCTAGTGCATATGTGTGTGCGTGTGTGTGTCATTTGCTTGCTAAATAATCATTCTTTTTTTTTGTCTTAATCATCATCATCGTCATCACTCGTTTCTCTTTTCTGTGTGATGCAGAGCTATTATTTAAAAAACAAAAAACACTTTTGTATTCCTGATTATTATTTTTTCGAGCATCATCATCTCAGATATTTTTGACGTTACTTTTTTCTGTGTGTTCATTACTTTTGTGGTTTTTTTTCATTCTTTTTTTTTGCTTTCTGCAGTCATTCAAAACAAAAAGATCTTGAACGTTATTTGTTATTGTTGTTTGTTATTTACCGGTTTTTGGATGATGATTTTTATTCATGTACTTTTCTCTTCAAACAAACACAGTATTTCTATCATACATAAACACAAATACGAACAATAGTTTCTTTTCTTTTGTTTCTTGTTCAATACGAAACAAGGTCTTGTGTTTATTTGTGTATATGATAATCTTTTTTTTTTCGTTCTTTTTACGTTCGCGTCTCACATCATATTTTTTGACGTGATTATCATTGTTGTTGTTACTGATCTTGAATTTCTTTTTTTCTCGTGTTTGGGCATATACACACATGTTTTCTTTTGTTTTCTATGGTTTAATTATCTGAACAACTAGTTCAATAAGGCGCATACACACACACACGCATGCATATAGACTCGCACATAACGTTTTCTTGTTTTTTTTTGTTGTTTTCTTCTTTTGGAGACCCTTTCTTTGCTCTTTTCTTTTTCCTTGTTCTTCACAACAATTTTTTCTTGTTATTCGATTTTTGTCAAAACAATGTTCGAATAAAACGAAGAAAGAAGTCAAAAGCTATAAGAAATATTTTAAAACTTAATCGAAAAAAATAAAAAAATTCAATGAATATTAATTGAATTGAAAGAAAACGAGAAACAATTGTTTTTTGTTTCGAGTGACAAACAAACACATTTTCATGAAGCCTTGATGCAAGGACGCACATTTTCGTTTTGCTAATATAAACGAATGCTATCAAGCGAAACATTTTTTTCTTTTTTCCTTTACATCAAGGATTGCTTTGCATGATGTTTCATCATCAATATTAAGAAATACAAACTGATATTACTATTCTACATAAGGTTTAATTAAATAGAACTGTCTTAGAGATTTTAAAGTGATGGGTGCAGGTAAATCAAAAAAAAAAAAACCTACTACACCCATTCCACAGTATCCAGCAAGTGCCAATCGATCTGTTGGTACAGTTAATACTGGTGTCGGAGGTGCATCTCCTATGAATCAACAGCAACAACTTATGCTAGCCAATCAAACCATTGCAAACTTAAACAATCAACTTATGGCTCTCCAAGGTGGAGCACCAATGCCTTATGGTGGTTATCCATATGGAGTTGCAGGCACACCACCAATGCCCTATGGTGGTTATGGATATCCAGGTGGACCTCGAATGCCTTATGGCACTCCTCCATATGGTGGACCTCCGAGTCCTGTTCTTTTTCCTCCAGGTAGACAATATCCACCAGTAGCAGGTGGTGCAGGTTATCGAGATAATGATTTTGCAGCTATTGGAAATATTGCTGGTCTAAATTCAGCTCAAGTAGCACTTCTTCATCGAGAATATATGAATTTAACACGTGGTGGTACAATTAAAATGGATCGTAATGTTGTTCGTCATTTATTACGAGATGTTCTTCTCGAAGCCAATAATGAACATATTGATCGTGCTATTGAAAATATATTTCGTACAATCGATCGAAATCAAGATGGTTTTATTGATTTTCCAGAATTTGTTGGTGCATTTAAAGAAGTATTAAAAGGAGATCGTTTCAATCCAGAACAACTTGTTATGAATAACGCAATTCCTGATATATTAACTGCACAATTACGAGCAAGTATTTTTGGACCTGATGCTGCTTCTCAACCACTAGCAGTAGTTCAACAGCCACAAGCTGCAACTCAATGTGTTCCAACTGGTGGATTAAATATTGTACCATTAGCATCTACAGGTGTTCGAAAAACACCGATGGTTTGCACTCCTCTATCAACTTGCACAATATCAAAAGCGACTGCACCTTTAATTACTCTTGACCCAAATCAATCAACTTGCGTAATCGCAACTCCAGGTCAATATATGATAACACAACCTACGGCTTTACAATGTGTACCTTTACCACTCATGTGATTATTGACTTATTTTGTTTTCTTTTTCTTTTTGTTCTTCTTTTTTCTTACCTAGTCAAAAAGAAGATAATTCTAATTTTATTTATATTTCGAGAAAAGAGTAATTCCTATCTTTAAGTATATGATTCTAAAATAGTCATCAAAACAAAAACTATATTTCTTAATGAATATATGTTTAATTAAAGCTTCCATCTAAAACATCAGAATCAATATAGTTTTACTGATAACGTTAATTTTTATTAAAAAGAATTTGTACGATGTAACAGAAGACTTAGTATTCGTTCTTCGAATATTTATTATTTCATATACACAACTATATTGAAATTGTTGACAACAAAATGCATAGATATTTTCATGAATATGGCTGAATTCGGTCATTTGATCGTAAATAAAAACAGAATTTTTTTTTGGAAAAATTACAAATCATATATACTAGATGTAGTAAAAGTTTTGCAATATTTTTTCTTTTTTGTATGTGACTCTATTTAGAAACATTGACAAAATGTTGATATTTTTCTTCCAAAGTTGTGCCATTGAATGTTCTATTCAGATCACAAGACCAAATTTATATAGTTATTTTCGAAATTTAAGTAGACTACTAATACAAAACATGTGTATTATCGTGTCATTTCCTAGAAAGAAAAATAAGAGAAAATCGAATATTGTTGAATTTCAACTAGAGATCTCGTTTACCTTTCTAATCTTGATGATTATTACTCTTCATCAGCTCAAATCCAAGTGAAAAATATCGTCCGTATCAATTAATCTGGATGCTTTACCGTAAAATAAAACATTTATTGCTGGGTTGTTTTCGAATACATTGACTAAAAACAGTGAGCTACATACACAAATAATAATTAAGATCGGACTTCGACTGAAAATGATGAGAATATATTGAGCATAAAATAGTACAGCTCTCGTAGAAAGTATGGATGCATATTTTTGGCTTTTAAAATGTCTATCACAGGTTCATTTTGTTTGACATTGATTTAATTAAAAATAACCTTAGTTGTCAATCACAAAATGGGTTTTTACAATTTTACCTTGTGAGAAATAACACGATTATATGTGTTTAATGTTAGTACTCTATTAAAATTTTGAAAATACCTATACAAATTTGGTCTTGTGATTTGAGTAGAACATGGCATGCAAACAAAAAAAAAGGTTGCAAAACTTTTGTCATAACTAATATATCAACAAACTTGATGATTATTGTATAAAAAGTGTTAAAATGAAATAGAACAATTTTGAATGTAAAATTGAAAAATACTCTGGAAATCAGAGTAGCATATTCAATTGTAAAACACAGATCTGTTCTAAAGATATATTTCTTACATTCTTCAGAAAACTATTCATAGAAGATAAATATCGAAAACATCCTATATATACTTTTTCAACTATTCAACTGACATAATTTTATTATAAATATTCAAAAATAATAAACTCTAATGCACTCTACGATTTCTAGTTGCTAGCCTTTTTATTTGCAAACTGCAAATGATTAGCAAAGCAATGTACCAAAAGATTTGATCGTTTTTTGATCAAGATTATTATACTCAGGTGATAGGCTACAGTTAGTAATATAAAAGTCTAAGATGATTCGGTTTTATGAGCTTTTGTTCTTGACATATCGAACTTTTTTATTAGACTTTTTGATCGAAACCTGTGCTCTTCCTCAAGTCATCATGAAAATTGAATTTTGAGTTTTCGACTGGAAATTTGCAACAAAGAAAGCTTTCAATGATATTAGTTCTTGAAGAAACTAATTTTTGTATATTCTACTTTACGATATAAATACTTAAAATATTTCTAATTCTTCATTTAATGTTATTACCGAATGCAAATGACTAAAAACAGTAAAATTTCACTGTAAACTAATTATCATTGAAAATTTATTTATGCAAAGTTTTGAATCGAAGCTTGAAATTCGATTTTCATAGTTACCTGAGAGGGACCGCGGTTTCGGTTAAAAAATCTAGTTAAAATTTGATGTTTCAAGAATAATGTCTTAGATAACTAAACTATCTAAGGCTTTGACGAGAAAACCGCTTGAAATGGTATATTGCATTTGCCCGTATGTGTTATCCACAGATTGGAGATCTATAGATCCGAAACACCTAATAGAATATGAGTTCATTTTGCGATTTAGCTGAGATATAAGAATGTTGCTGAAATTTCCCTGTAGGATTCTGATTCTCCAGCGAAATCTTACTTTCGAATTTCGATGTGAAACTTTGTCCGTATGAAGAGTTCAACTAAAATAGTTGGTAAGAAAATTTTCAGTACATTATGGAGATATGATTTTTCTTACAAAAACAGGCGTTTTTCTCTAGGTTTTGAATACAAGATGGATTTTCAAAAAAAAAATCAGTCTCGATAATTTGACGCTCAAAAATTCGACATTTAGTCATATAAACTAATCTAATTGAGGTCTTGATATGAACTAAGTTTCAGATGGATGTTCAAAATTACGGTTTCGTTGCAAAATTAAGTTCGTCCACAAAGATTTCACTAGTACTTCCATATCTTAACCAAATTACAACATGAATTCATATCCTCTTAGGCTGCTTCTATTCTACAAGTCTTCTACATGTGAACGAAGTATGAAGGCGAATGTAGAGAGCTGTTTCGAATAGTTGTCTTGTGAGCTAATGGAAAATAATATTCTCAATTCTTTTAAAAAAAATAACAAATGAACAAGAAAATTTCA